CTGGTGGGCACGGCCCTCACGGACCCGCGCCGGTGGTTTAAGCTCGACGAGGAGCATAACCGCACAAAGGCCGTTGGTCGTGCCCGTTGGGCTGTTTTTATTTTCTAGTCGCCGTTTGGCTGGCCTTAATTACCATTTTTGGGTCTATGGCGTTTGCCTATAAGCTCTTTAGAGCATCATGAAGTCGATCTTCTCGTGAAATTTTGTTGTGAATGTTTTCCCTAAGGGGAAGAGACCATAGATGATCTTAGGGCGTTTGCCTAGAAGATTGTTATAAACCCTATGAAGTTGTTCTCATTGAATATAATTTTTTTATGTGCATTTTGTTGAGATGACGAGGAGAAGCATTCACCATGTGTCTCTTGGTTGCTCTTGAGTTTCTGCCCCATGCCTCAAGAAGGTTCTTGGAGAGAGGCAACGAAGTCTCGAGAAGCTTAATACCTTAACAATCATAGGAGAAACTGAAGGGCAAACAACCTTGCCATGAACTGACTCTAAAAAAAAAAAAAAAGTAATCGGTTCTCGTGCCGGCAAGAAGGGTTATCCCACTCGAGCGTAAATGCTTCCTCGATAAACCAAAAAAAAAAAAAAAAAAAAAGCTAACTGTCATGTGTTGGATCTTTGTCTACTACCATGTGCAGGCATTCTGATGCATGCCATGGGGCAGCAAGACGACCCCTTTGAATACGCAGTGACGGATTTGACAATTTCCGTCATGCGAGGGCGGTTGCGATCCGCGTTGGCTTGGTGGCGTACATGGTGTACGAGCAGTCTTATCTTATCAATAATCGAACGAGGCTACTGGATGCCGTGGAAGCAAGGACCGCCACAACCATTTCGGTGCTCCAATCATGCCGGAACTCATGCTCACATGGATTTTACACGATCAGCCATCATGGACCTTCTTCGAACCGGAGTAGCAATCGAGGTACCAACGTCGGAGCTGGTATGCATCAGTCCTCTCAACGTCGTCGAGCAGCGAGGCAAATGTCGTTTCATCCTGGATCTACGCAAAGTTAATAGCGAGCTTTGCATTCCGAAGTTTAAGTACGAAGGACTTTCTCGCGTGTCGGAACTAGCACATCCGGGTGATTGGATGTTTTCAATTGATCTCAAGTCAGGCTACCACCACGTTGACATCCACGCGTCCTGTTGGAAATACTTGGGTTTTCAGTTTGAGGGGCGCTCATACTGCTTCCGATCACTTCCGTTCGGACTAGCAACGGCGCCCTTCGTCTTCACTCAATTGATTAAACAGTTGGCACGGCGATGGCGAGCAAAAGGGGTCCGCGTCATCCCATATGTGGATGACATCCTCTTCTTGTGCCACACAGAAGTTGAGGCCCGGGTCGTCCGCATCTGCACAATCAACGACCTAAGAGAAGCTGGACTCGTGATCAACGCCAAAAAGTCGCATCTCGAGCCGACTCAGCAGCTACGATTCCTAGGATTGGAGCTCGATACCCGGTGTGGACAATTTTCTGTCGGCAACGAGCGACGAAGTGTCTTGCAATCAACCATTGTTTCATTATTGGAAGCAGGACGCGCACAGCACAAAGTTCCTGTACGGCACGCCGTACGTGTCACAGGCATGCTCGCCTCCATGACCCTTGCCCTTGGGGCGACGGCGAGAGCATTCAGTTATGCACTACTACAAACCATCAACGACGCCTCGTCATGGAACAGCAGGGTGTCGCTGTCCCCGAGCGCATGCGAAGAGTTGGAGTTCTGGTCAACTGAGTTCGACCACTTCAATGGCGCCCCATTTCATGTTCGAGGTAGCTACGATGCAATCATCCATGTCGACGCCAGCGCGCACAGTTGGGGGGCCACACTCGACATGTTCTCCACGGGCGTTCACAAGGCCTGCTCGAACATGCCCCAGGAATTACTTTGCACTTCAAGTACTCGTCGTGAGTTAGAGGGGGTGTTTTGGGCACTTCAAACTTTCACCGGCTTCATCCAGAACAGGCATGTGCTCGTGCGTGTCGACAACCAGGGTGTATTCTTCATCCTAAAAAAGGGTGGGTCACGCAACAGCTCACTCACTACCACTTGCAAAGACATCATCGGCATCTGCATGACTCATCGCATTCGCTTGATCATGGAATGGATCCCCCGCGAGCTTAACACGCTCGCGGATGAGCTCTCGAAGACTCTCGACAGAGACGACTACACCCTGAAGGCACCATGGTTTAACCTTCTCGAGAGGCGTTGGGGGCCACACTCTATAGATCTCTTTGCCAGCGCTGCAAATGCCAAACTCCCCCGATTCTGCTGCGAACACCCACATCCTAAGGCGACAGCGATCAACTCCTTCACGCTATCCTGGGCTGCTGAACATGGCTTCGCTTTTCCACCGCCACAATTGATCCCGGCAGTCCTTCACCACGCACAGAGGACAGCAGCCTCACTGACACTCATCGTTCCCTTCTGGCCTAGGGCTAGCTGGTGGCCTCTTCTTCAACCCTCGCCGCCCGGCTGGGCCTCGCAGATCCGTGACTCCTTGAAACTTACTCACGGAAGCCAATGCCTTGCACCTGGCACGCACACCACCGCATTCTCGGGTTCCGGCCTCCCCCATAGCATGATGATGGCCCTGCGCATATCCTTCCGCTAACACATTGCTCGCGCCCTCTCTGATCGCTTCAGGGTTACTTCGCTCGCTGCAGAGCCAATTGCTCTCTATGATGCTGCAAACGCGTGCGGAATCTACGATCAAGACTTACGAACCATACTGGCAGCAGTTCCGTTCATTCTGCATCAAGGCTAAGCTACCATTCCTGCCTGCACGAGATATGACACTCGCCCTATACCTCGTTTACGCCATTCGCCACCAAGCCACCTTCTCAGTGGTGCAACTCACTTGTTCGGCGGTTGGTTTCGCCCACCGCATGATTGGGGCTGCTTGCCCAACTATCGGCCCAATGACATCTCAAGTCCGAGAATTTGCGAAGCGCCACTGCCCTCGGCCCCACAGGACCAAAGAACCAGTGTCTCTTCACCAAGTGCACGCCATGGCCACACACTTCATTGGTTCGGACGACCCGTCCACCTTTCAAAAAGGACTCATACCACTTCTCATGTACGCCGGTTTCCTGCGGTATTCGGATCTCGCCTCCATCTGCTGGAACGATATCCAGTTTGAAGACGATGTCATGTGGCTACTCATCCCGCGCTCAAAGACGGACCAAGAGGCGAAGGGCGCATGGGTGCCTATTGCCGCAAGTCAGGGACCCTTCTGCCCCGTTCGATGCACCAAGCGATTCATCCAACTGGCAAGATATGGTCCTTCCACACCAAGGCCATTAATCCGAGTCTTCGGTTCGGCTACGAAAGGCTCACTCCCGGTCAAACCACCGTCGTACACCACCATACGCAATTGGTGCAAGGAAGCTTTTCTCGCCATCGGCCTTGGTGACCATGCTCTTGGTACCCACTCCTTTCGCAAAGGAGCAGCAACTGTAGCAGCAAACGCAGGAGGATCGACTCTTCAAACAGCTTGGCCGTTGGCGCAGTGAATCAGCCAAGGAAATGTATGTCACACCCACCGCCGATCGCCTGATTGATGCCTCTCGCAACCTCCAATCAACGGCTCTTGCGCCGTCACCAGCACAACACTCCAGAGCTCTCAAGCGCCACCGTCTGGCACCCTTGCACATGTCTCAGCGTGACCCATTGTAATGAGAACGATGGCAATTGCTACAGAAGCAAGCTTTCACAATATGAAAAATTTCTAAGCGTTCATCGCTTTCAAATTTGTGTATTGTGAAAGCGAAGCTGACTGTAACGCAATTTTGAGCATCGTCGAAGCACGCTATTCGCCTTCTCCGAATATATAATGTGGGTTGGGGTCATTCTTCCCCCACCCACGTCTCTCATTTTTACAATCGCTCAAGTTCAATTCCCACCCACCCTCCCCAGGCTGGTCACCCTTGCAAAGTAGTAGTTCTTACACATCTTGTTTTGTTCTTACAACTATATTACTGCTAGGAACTATTGTACTTGAGCCCATTGTAATGAGAACGATGCCAATTGCTACAGAAGCAAGCTTTCTCAATGCGTATTTTAGGGAGTGAAATGGGAAAGCAGGACTAGCGTATTTCTGAAGTAGAGTGAGGAGGAATGAGTGAAAAAACAAGTGACGAGATAGTGGTTCTGTGCGATGGCATGTGCAGTCAGGCCGTGGCTTGTGCTGGGGTCGTTTCGCGAGCGGGGCGAAAATACTGACGACTCGTAACACACAAGAACTTGTTTCGTGCAAATGTAATCAACGGCCAGCAGCAAGGCGAAATCATCGACCCTGCTATCCGACCGTACACACCTGTCTTTTTTCGCCATCAGATTTCGCAGCGACCGAACCAAACCGCAACTTAGCCCATTGAAACTGCACAAATCTCGAGGTTCAAAGAGCCTGCTGTACTTTCACATGATCCTATCCCAAGCACTTAGTTTCTGCATCTTCGTAATTTCTGGGACGTTATGTTCCTTCTCCGCAGCTCGCAATCCACGACACTAGCCTAAGAGCGTGCATTTGAACCGGTCTTCGTTCCTCTCATCTCGGTCACCGCCACCGTTTGTTCCAGTCGGTAACGTTCACCGGCGCTGCGAATCATGACGAAGCGCACCCTCGAGCTTGTCGTGCCCGTGGCTCCCCAGCATCGCCTGGACGAGGCGGCCGTGCTGAGCTACCTCAAGCAGCACGTCAGGAACGTGCCGGCGAACGCCGACGCGCTGAAGATATCGCAGGCGAGCCATCCATTTTCTTTGTCGAATTCGATTACGCAATTTCTCACAGGAGCTTGTATTAACAATCTAAAATTCTCGAGTGATTTTTCGCCGCGGTGAAAGAACAAGGTATTCGCGTTCCATTCGACTTCCCACCATGATCGTTCGTCCTTCCTGCGCTTCCCATCCAGTCAGATAAGCGCAGTCGTTACCACTGTCTCATGTGTGCATCATTTTCCTCTCCGTCCTCTCTCTTTCTCTCCGCATCGCAGTTCGGCCATGGTCAGTCCAACCCCACTTACCTCCTGGAAGTGTCTTCCGCTCATCATGGCTCCCAGCCCGCCAGATTCGTGCTCCGAAAGAAACCCCCTGGTCACCTGCTCAAGTCCGCCCACGCCGTGGAGCGAGAATTCCAGGTAACCATAACCTGCTGCAGCAATTGATTGTTCACAAAGCTATCACTCCATCAGCTCTCATGCTCCAAAGAAACTCCTGAATCACTTGCTCAAGTTCACGCAGGTCGTGGAGCGAGAATCCCAGGGTAGCAAGAGGCCGAAGTTCTCCTTGTGCTATGCTTTGACCCACCAAGGTTGTGCTTCGAGCGAAACCTTTTCGCGAGGAAATGTGAGGAGGGAAACGAGTCAAAGGTGAAAGCGCAAGTCACGCAGAGTGCCATTAAGCCAAGCATTTGCTTGTCTCTATACCTGTCTCTCTTCCTTGGTACCCCCAAAATGCCTGCTAATCACCACTCAAATTCAACCCACCGGCACTCCCCATCGCCCCAGGTGCTGGCAGCGCTGGGCTCACAGGCTGGAGGGGCAACTGTGCCCGTGCCAGCAGTGCACGCCCTCTGCACCGACCCCTCCGTTATAGGCACGCCCTTTTACATCATGGACTTCGTCCCTGGTCGCATCTTCACCAACCCTTGCCTCCCTGTGAGCCCCTCGCCTCCCTGTGAGCCCCTCGCCTCCCTGTGAGCCCCTCGCCTCCCTGTGAGCCCCTCGCCTCCCGGTGAGCCCCTCGCCTCCCTGTGAGCCCCTCGCCTCCCTGTGAGCCCCTCGCCTGTTACTGTCAGCTGTATTTCTCCTGGTTTTTGTGCCTTCCCGTATACAGTGGTCATGGTTTCCGACAGTGGTTTAGTTTCACTTGGTTTAATGCTTCCATCTAATAGTGATTGATTTCAGCTCCTGTTTGATCGCTAAGGCACTCTTTCCTTGCTGGATCTCACTTCCGTCCTTCTTTTCTTTCTTCCCCATCCACCCAACCAGGATCTACCACCTGCCGCCCGGACGCAGATCTACACCGCCATGGCCGGCACCCTTGCCGCCCTGCACTCCGCCCGCCTGCCCCAGCTACAAAAAGATGGGTTCGGCCGCCCGGACAGCTACTGCCGGCGGCAAGTGGAGCGGTGGGCAAAGCAGTACGAGGCGTCAATGAAATCCATAGGGGAGGAATTTAGGGAGGAGGATGGGAGGATGAGGGGGCTGATTGCGTGGCTGAGGGAGAATGTGCCCGGGGAAGATGCAGCAGCAGAGGGGGTGATGCGAGGCGTGGTGCATGGGGACTTTCGGCTCGATAACCTCGTGTTTCACCCCACAGAGGTGAGGCAAAGCAGTACGAGGCATCAGTGAAATCCATAGGGGAAGAGTTTAGGGAGGAGGATGGGAGAATGAGGGGGCTGATTGCATGGCTGAGTCGGAATGTGCCTGGGGAGGATGCAGCAGCGGAGGGGGTGATGAGGGGCCTGGTGCATGGGGATCTTCGGCTCGATAACCTCGTGTTCCACCCCACTGAGGTGTGCGCACTTGAGTCTTGGCTTATGTCACAAAAGAAAGGAATCAGTGTTTTCTTCTTCTTGCCTGCGTGTGGATAACCGTGTGTGGCTTGCATTGCTTACTATTAGGGCCCTCTTCTTGTTTTTGCCACCTTGTGCCCACTTTCTCATGCTCGTTGTGGGATTTCTCTGCTTGGTTGGCAGCCGCGAGTGGTGGCAGTACTGGACTGGGAGCTCTCGACCCTGGGAAACCAGATGTCTGACGTCGCGTACTGCTGCCTCGTAAGTGATTAACCAGATGTCTGACGTCGCGTACTGCTGCCTCGTAAGTGATTAACCCCGAGCCGACTTCTGAGAATTCTCCCGAGTGACTTCCATATAGCCCTGAATCTACTTAGCAACCAGATGTCTGAGGTCGCGTACTGCTTCTTGGTGACTTGGAAATTAGATGTCCCAGGGGGCGTGCTGCTGTCTGGTAGGTGGTAAATGAGGTTGGCTTGCCACGCGTTCCAAAAAACGAAAACTTCAGCTGTACCTACCTACCTACCACCTGCTGCTGTCTTGGTATGACTTTTGAGAATTCTCAAAAGTCATACCAACTTCAGCTGTACCTACGTACCTACCACCTGCTGCTGTCTCAGCCGTGCCCATGCTTCCCTTTCTCTGCCTGGTGCTCCTCCTTTCACTCAAATTCTCCCGTCTATCTTCTCCCTTCTCCCTTCTCCTTCTCCCTTCTGCCTTCAACCTAGCACCGCCCATCCCCATGCCCCCAGCCATACCATCTGCCGCCATCTCAGCCTGGGAGCCATGCTGCCATCCCTGGGCATCACCCAACTGCCCGTGCGCCTCCCTTCACACCCAGCTTCTCCCTTCTTCCTTCCTCTCTCCAACACCCCACCCACGCATGCCCCAGCCATACCACCTGCCGCCATCCCAGCCGGGGGCCATGCTGCCATCCCTAGGCATCACCCAACTGCCCGGTGGGCCTCCAGCAGGATCTCTGCCCGGTGGGCCTCCAGCAGGATCCCTGCCCGCTGGCATCCCCTCTGAGGCGCAGTTCGTGCGCGCATACTGCCACGAGATACAGCGCCTGCAGGTGAGCTGGCTGTGCGTGCTCGGTTTTGTGTGTGGCAATGCAGCCATTGCAGCGGGAGGGGAGCCACGCTGCCGTCTCTCTCTCGGCATCACCCAGCTAGCTGCCCGAGGCACCACCAGCAGGATCCCTGCCCTGCCCGCTCGCACCCCCTCCGAGGCACAGTTTGTGCGCGCCTACTGCCACAAGATACAGCGCCTGCAGGTGTGCTGTGCTGTGCTTGCTCGTGCTTGCTGTATGGGGAGGCTGGCTGGCTGCCATGCCTTGCACTGCCGCATGGTATTCCTCTCCCTTCCCTCCGAGGCACAGTCCGTGCATGCTTACTGCGATAAGAGGAGTCAGAGGAGGGAGAGGAGGCAGAGGAGGATGAGGAGGCAGATGGGGCGCAGAGGATTTGAATGTTGTCAATTGATGCTTTTCTGCTCTCGCTCCCTCAAACGGTGCTTTGTGTTATATCGGCCATAGTTACATGCAAATGGGCAAGAACAATCTGACAGCTACATGCTTTTCTGCTCTCGCTCCTTCTGTGTCTGTTGCGTGCAGGGCGTCAGCCTATGGCCCGGTGACACATGGCGCTTCTACGTGGCCCTTTCGCTGTTCCGCGGCGCTGCTATCTTCACGGGGATTTACCAACGAGCACTGCAGGTAGTGCACGGTATTGTAAGCTGTGCAGGCAAAGCACTGCAGGTAGTGCACGGTATTGTAAGCTGTGCAGGCAAAGCACTGCAGGTATTGACGCATGGTAGTACCAACCAAGCATGGCAGGTACTGGAAGTATATGCATGGTACTGCAAGGAGTGTGGCACAGGTGGTGGATTGAGTGCTTGGAGGTGCTCCAGGTAGAGCAGTGCAGGTAGAGCAGTGCAGGTACTGCACGGTCGAGGTGTGGTACGGGTGGTGGAACGAGCACTGGAAGATACTGCAGGCCCGTGCATATGCTCCCTAGTGCACCAGTGCAGTGCCCTTTTGAGGCGCCTCAAAAGCAGTGCAGTGCCCCGTTACATGCGCACGACTCACCATTCCATCCCCTGCTCTTCTGCCCCCTGCTCTCCCCTCCTTCCTCCTCAGGGCAGGCGGGCTCTCAGGTGGCTGGGCTCATTTTTTTTTTTTTTTTTGGGCTTTAAGGAGATCCCCGGAGGAAACCAACCCCCCGTAGGGAGGGCTGGGCTCATAGCATGCGCCCTGCACTGCACTGCACGTGCTGCACTCTCACTCCCATTCACCTCACACCCTCTTCCCTCATTTCCCTGAGTGACGATGCATATTCCCTCCCTCCCTATCTTCATCCCCCATCAGGGCAATGCATCCTCCAGCAGGGCAGGCCAGGCCGGCCGTCAGGTGGCGGGTCTGATAGCATGCGCCCTGCACGTGGTGCACTCGCCCCCCTCCATTCCTGCCCGACCACCACAAGGCAGCAGCAGCATCAGTGGTTCAAGCGGCGCAGTGGGTATTGCAGGGGGTTGGGATGGATCCAGTGCGGTTCCAGCATCGCCATCCCATCCTGTGGGGCTGGCGCCCAGCCCGCGAGCCGAGGCACTGAGGAGGCGAGTGGCGGAGTTTGTAACGCAAGAGGTGTTGCCTATAGAGGGGATATTGGAGGAACATGCAGTGGGGGAGGCACGGTGGACTATTCACCCCCTGGTGGAGCAACTGAAGGGGAAGGCCAAGCAGGCTGGGCTTTGGAACCTGTGGATTCCCGCTCTGGTGAGTCGAGGGCTTGTTACAACACATATGACGTGATGGGGATGCTTGTTTAGGGGATGAAGACAAGACGTGAGAGGTCGCAGAACTGCTGTTGCTCGCACTTCTGCACAATCAGTTGCCTGTTGCATGTTGAACATAGAGTCATAGGCTACGACACTCATGTGTGCAAGGATAGACATCAACCCCCTTCCCCCACTCCACCCCACTTTCCACCGTCCCCTGAACAACTTCAAGGCCTCTCAGACTGCACAACTGACATCAACCCCCTTCAACTCAATTCTTGCTCTCCTTCGCCGCCCTCCGCCCTCCCCCTCCTCCCCCCGCCCTCCCTCCTCCGCCCTCCCCCCTCCGCTCCCTGCCCTCCCTCCTCCGCCCTCCTCCCTCCGCTCCCTGCCCTCCCTCCTCCGCCCTCCTCCCTCCGCTCCCTGCCCTCCCTCCCCCGCCCTCCCCCTCTCTTATGTCAGGATGCGGGAGTGCCAGTGACGCCTGTCCTTGGGGAGTGTCAGAGCCGGGGGCTGCTGGGGGGGGGGCTGTCGAATCTGGACTATGCGCACGTGTGCAAGGAGATGGGCAAGAGCGTGTGGGCGCCTGAGCTCTTCAACTGCTCTGCGCCCGACACCGGCAACATGGAGGTGGGATGAAGGGTTTGAGGGTGGTAAAATGCGGTACTGCACAGTGGGATGCGGTTTAGTGCAGTGGAATGCGGTTCAGTGCGGTGGGACAGGGTTCTGCTGCTGGGGGCGGGGCTGTCGAATCTGGACTATGCGCACGTGTGCAAGGAGATGGGCAAGAGCGTTTGGGCGCCTGAGCTCTTCAACTGCTCTGCGCCCGACACCGGCAACATGGAGGTGGGATGAAGGGTTTGAGGGTGGTAAAATGCGGTACTGCACAGTGGGATGCGGTTTAGTGTGGTGGAATGCGGTTCAGTGCGGTGGGACAGGGTTCTGCTGCTGGGGGCGGGGCTGTCGAATCTGGACTATGCGCACGCGTGCAAGGAGATGGGCAAGAGCGAGTGGGCGCCTGAGCTCTTCAACTGCTCTGCGCCCGACACAGGCAACATGGAGGTGGGATGGGAACTGAGGTTAACCTGCTTTTGGCTTGTTGACCGTCTCGATCTGTTATTCCATTGCAACACCCCACTCGTTTCACCTGTCGTAGGCGTGCATCAAACGGTGTCGTGTTGCAACGAGTGAAACGTTATTCTGCTGAGCCAACTGTCCCCTTCCTCCCGCCTACAACCAGGTTCTCTTGCGCTACGGCAACGAGCAGCAGCAGCGGGAGTGGCTGGTGCCTCTGCTGGAGGGCAAGATCCGTTCGTGCTTCGCCATGACAGAGCCACGAGTGGCGTCCAGCGATGCCACCAACATCGAGGCTCGGATAGAAAGGTGGGGATAGAAAGGTGGGGATAGAGAGGTGGGGATAGAAAGGTGGGGATAGAAAGGTGGGGATAGAAAGGTGGGGATAGAAAGGTGGGGATAGAGAGGTGGGGATAGAGAGGTGGGGATAGAGAGGTGGGGATAGAGAGGTGGGGATAGAGAGGTGGGGATAGAGAGGTGGGGATAGAGAGGTGCAGACACACGTGTCAAGTGTTGGATGGGCAGTTGTGCTTGACATTTGACTCAAAAAGAAGTGCGGGCAGAGTGTGCACCGTTCAACCTCTTGCTGATTTCCACTGAAACACCCTGTCGTCTTCCTTCCACTTCACCACGCTGTCTTCTTCCCCATGCAGTGCGGGCGACCACTACATCCTACACGGCCACAAGTGGTGGGCCAGTGGCGCCAGCGACCCGCGCTGCAAAGTGGCAATCTTCATGGGCAAGCACCCCGAGCGAGCTGCTCCCTCCGGCGCCCACTCCGCGCCCGCACACAGGCAGCATTCCATGCTGCTCGTGCCCATGAGTGCTCCTGGGGTGACTGTAGTGCGCCCGCTGCTGGTGTTTGGATATGATGATGCGCCTCATGGGCACTCGGAGGTGCTGTTTGAGGGGGTTAAGGTGCCCAAGACAAGTGTGCTGCTGGGTGAAGGCCGAGGCTTTGAGATTGCTCAGGTGAGCACGGGAGCCAATAGTTGATTCAGACGCAGCAACTGTTTCAGGTGCTGTACCTGCTTCAGTCGCTTCAGGTGCTTCAGATGCTGTAGCAGAGCTGCTTCAGGTGCATCAGGTGCCCGTGCCATCCGCTGCCGGTGTTTGGGAACCCTGCCCCCCCCACCACACACGCACACTATTGACGGTGACTTGCACTGACCCTGAACCCTTTATGCATTACGGGTCGGTTAGGCCCGGGTCGGCTGCACCACTGCATGCGGATGATAGGAGCCACAGAGCGAGCCATGGACTGCATGCTCACCCGTGCCCTTTCCAACCCCATCACGCCTTCCCCCGAATCCATCCCCCCCCCCTGCCCCCCCCCTGTTTCTTGTCCTTCTCCAATCGCTTGCTCTAATCCCTTCATGTGCTACCAGGGTCGTTTAGGCCCGGGTCGGCTGCACCACTGCATGCGGCTCATAGGGGCCACAGAGCGAGCCATGGACTGCATGCTCCAACGCGCACTCTCCCGGGTGGCGTTCGGGCGGCCGCTGGGCGGCAACGAGTCGGTGATGAGGGATACTGCCGAATGCCGCATCACGCTGGAGGCGGCGCGACTGCTGGTGCTGCAGGCGGCTGCTGAGTTAGACGCCAAGGGGAACAAGGAGGCCCGGATCGCTATCGCTATGGCCAAGGTGAGTGAGAGACAGAAGGTCAGAGGGAACAGAGTGCGGTGTTCATGTGCCGCATCACGCTGGAGGCAGCACGGCTGCTGGTGCTGGACGCCAAGGGGAACAAGGAGGCACGAATTGCTATTGCCATGCTGCTGCTGGTGCTGCAGGCGGCAGCTGAGCTGGATGTGAGGGCGAACAAGGAGGGCACGGATTGCTATTGCCATGGCTAGAGTGATTGACTGACACTCGTGTTGGAGAGAAGACGGTTATGTGTTGGTGTTGCTGCTTTTGCTGCTGCTGCAGAGTTGGCAAGAATAGCAAAGAGGGGAATGTGGCTGGCTGAGTTGTTGCCGTCGTCGTACCATCGTAATTCCTCCCCTTCCTCTTGTGCTTTCAGACTTCTCGGAACTCGTACCAATTTCTCCGCCCCCCATTCTTTTCTTGAATTCCTCTCACTATCGCCCCTCCATTTCTGATTCTTCCAGGTGGCTGCCCCCCGGGCAGCTCAAAAAGTTCTGGACAGGGCGATCCAGGTGCACGGGGGTGGGGGGGTGAGCTCGGACTTCCCTCTTGCCCGCCTGTGGACGGCAGCTCGCACTCTGCGCATCGCTGACGGTCCAGATGAGGTGCACCTGGCTTCCATTGGGAAGAAGGAGCTGCGAGATTGGCAGAAGAGGATGATGGGGGGTGGGAGCAGTGGCAGCTCGGGTAATAGTGGAGCGTCAGCCCGCTTGTAGACAACTGGAATCTTTGGTGTCTACATGGGTTCAGAATTGGAGGCGGAGAGTGGAAAGGGGGGTTTAGCTCGGACGTTCTGTCTCGCCCGCATGTGGACAGCAGCTCGCACTCTGCGCATCACCGACGGTCCAGATGAGGTGCACCTGGCCTCCATTGGAAAGAAGGAGCTGCGAGATTGGCAGAAGAGGATGATGGGGGGTGGGAGCAGTGGCAGCTCGGGTAATAGTGGAGCGTCAGCCCGCTTGTAGACAACTGGATTTTTTTTTTCGAGTCTACATGGGTTCAGTGGAGTCTGAGGGTGGAAGAGGGGGGGGTGAGCTTGGACGGACTTCCCTCTTGCCCGCCTGTGAGTAGCAGGGCGCACTCTGCACATTGCGGATGGTCCAGATGTGGTGCACTAGCCTCCATTGGGAAGGAGGAGCTGCAGGACTGGCAGAGAAGGATGATGAGGAGGGATGGGAGGAGTGGGAGGCCAGGTGGGAATGGGAGTGGAGTTTCAGCGAGGTTGTAATGGGCTCAGTAATCGATTCAATTCACATGTTCCTGTGGGTGTGGGTGTGGGTGTGGGCGTGTGTGTGTGTGTGTGTGTGTGTGTGTGTGGGCGTGTGTGTGTGTGTGTGTGTGTGTGTGTGAGGGGGGGGGGGGGTGTGTGGGCGTGTGGTGTGGGTGTGAGTGTGTGTATGGGCGTGTGTGGGTGTGAGTGTGGGTATGGGCGTGTGTGTGTGGGTGTGTGTGTGTGTGTGGGTGTGTGGGTAGCTGGAACAAGGGAAGGGATCAAGGACAGGAAAAGGGCGAGAATGAGGGTAAGGAAGGGAAGAGAACAGGGACAGGAGGAAGGAAGCAGAAGGTATATGGGTTTGCTGACAGGGTGTGTGTGTGTGTGTGTGTATGTGTGTGTGTATGTGTGTGGGGGGGGGGCGTGGATATGGGAGTGGGAGTGGGTGTGTGGGTGAGGATGAGGGTGTGTGTGAATGTGGGTGGATGTGGTGGTGATATTCTTTGAGCTAGGCCTCTAGTAGGTACCATCAACAGATGCCCCTATCAACCCATCCTCAATGCTCCGCTAAAACAACCCAAGATCCACAATTTTCTCCAGCAAATCTGTTGTTCAGTTCATTAACGTTCATTAATCACAAACACAATGAACATAGTGTGCTACTTTAGAGGCGCCTCAAAAGTCGTTACAATTGCCCACACCAGATATTTTTTCAGTGCAAGTGTTCTCAAATCACTAAGTACATAAGCCAGAATGTGTGCTAGCGCTATTCACTCGCTGAACAGGTAAGCCTTCCCTAACAATCACATTATTCCCCACTAACTTCGCCTCACAATAACCAATGAGAGATGCAAAAACCAACAGCATGCACAGCATGTTCTGCAGTGTCGAACGCACTCACTCCTACTGTACCGTACCATACCACATACCTCCAGGTGCAGTGCAGTGAAGGGTCAAGACAAGCCTGTTTGTTACCTCAACGTGTGGAGAGCATCAGCCCCACATAGAGCCTATCATCGTTGCACACGTACCCATTATTCAGCTCCGCCAGCTTCTTTGCACTGTTCTGGAACTTGAGCGATATGATCTGCGCACAGAAGTCCCCCCTCTTCACCGAGTAAGACTTCTCGCTCCGCTGCTTAGACCCCGCCAGCTGGCGGCCCGTCGGTGAGCGAGCCGCGGCCAGCAGCGCCAGCTGGCGGCCCATCGATGAGTGTGTGGAGTGAGAAGGAATGGAGGAGGAGGAGGAGGAGGAGGAGGAGGAGGAGGAGGAGGAGGAGGAGGAGGAGGAGGAGGAGGAGGAGGAGGAGGAGGAGGGAGAGGAGAGGGCCGAGGGGAAGAGCGTGGAAGGAAGCTCACGGACTGAGCGAGGCTTGATTGCGCTGGGGGAACCCGCGAGGTGGGCATCCACACACACCTGTGGTAGGGAGGATGGGTGTGGACGGTGTATCATTGATTGAGTGCTTTCTAGGATGGATGGGTCCATGGTAGTGGGGGGAGGATGGGGTGATTGCGCTGGGGGAACCTGCTTTGCATGCATCCACACCACACACACCTGTGGTAGGGAGGATGGGCGTGGACGGTGTATCATTGAGTGCACTCTAGGATGGATGGTAGTGGGGGGAAGATGGGGTGATTGTGCTGGGGGAACCAGCCTGGTATGTATCCACACACTCCTGTGGTAGGGGGGATGGGTGGGTGTGGAGCACAGAGGGGGTAAGATAGGCGTGCGCGGGGACGATGTGAGAGTGAGGGCAATGGGCCGGGTGTTCAATCGCGGAGGCACAATGTATGCATCCCCACACACCTGCGGTGAGGGCGTGTTCATTCGCGGGTGCATACAATCACTGCTACACAACCCTCACCTGCTACACAACCCTCACCTGCTACACAACCCTCACCTGCACACCACCACTAAGGGCATCATCACTGCTCTTCACCCAACCAGTCCCTCAGCTTCACCTAATCTAGCCCAAGCCAGCCCCGCTGCCTTAACAGGCGGAAGAGATGTTTTTGCAGCCCACCCCACGGTTGAGTGGGGTATGGAGACTCACCCCCCGGTTGAGTGGGGTATGGAGACTCACCCCCCGGTTGAGTGGGGTATGGCGTCGCAGCGCACCCCCGGGTTGAACGAGAAGAATGGACGGAGAAATCAAACCCCATCCCAACTTCCATTATCACCGCATCCCACTCCTCACCTGCACGCCTTCCCCATCCCAGCCGACGCGAGAACCTCCGAACGACGGGAAGAGGCGGTCACAGGCCAACCCTGGGTTGAACGAGACGAAGGCGGTTCGGTTGAGAGCGTGATCCTGCATGATGCTTCCACACGTGTCCCCTGCGCGCACCGTGTACCATCGAGTGCACATGGGCAGCTTGGGCACGTCGTTCTCTCCGCTGCCCTTCACCACACATAGCTGCCATTCAGGGGAAGGAGAGGAAGGAGGGGACGGTTTGGTTGAGAGAATTGTCTTTTATGATGCTTCCACACGTGTCTCCTGAGCGCACAGTGTGCCATGTGGTGCACATTGGCAGCTTCGGTACGTCCTGCGTTCCGCTGCCCTTCACCACACATAGCTGCGTCGTGGATTGAGAGAGGAAGACGGGGAGCAAGCAGGAGAGCAAGGAATGGGAGCCGGTGGGGAAGGGGGTGGAGAGGAGGAGTGGGAGGATATGTGTCGGCACGTGGAGGGAATAAGGTGGTGTTGTTGAGAGCATGATCCGCTATGATGCCATCACTCACACGTGCCCACCACACCGCACTGCACCGCATCTCACCTGCTGGTTCACGCGCGGAGCTCTCCAGGTGCTATCGCACTTGATCCCCGGGTTGAGAGCCAGAAACTCGTCCACTGTGAGGGAGAACGAGCTTGCCACACCGCCGAGCACCGCACTGCACCGCATCTCACCTGCTGGTTCACGCACGGAGCTCTCCAGGTGCTATCGCACTTGATCCCCGGGTTGAGAGCCAGAAACTCGTCCACTGTGAGGGAGAACGAGCTTGCCACACCGCCGAGCACCGCACTGCACCGCATCTCACCTGCTGGTTCACGCGCGGAGCTCTCCAGGTGCTATCGCAGCTGATCCCCGGGTTGAGAGCCAGAAACTCGTCCACTGTGAGCGAGAACGAGCTTGCCAGGCTGTCACACGTGTCCTGTTCCGTCCACGAGTAGAAGAGCACGCAGTGCACCGCTTCTGTCAGCGGCGGCGCCACGCTCACTGGTGTGTCGTACATGATTGAAACGCACTCCCCTGCGCCCTGTGGTGGGGTGGGGTGGGACCGTGGGGGATGGGGCAAAATCACTTTGGAGAATTCTCAAAAGTGATTTCATCATGGCGGCGCCACGCTCACTGGTGTGTCATACATTATTGAAACACACTTCCCCATGCCCTGTGGGTGGGGTGGGGTGGGACCGTGGGATGGGGCGTGAGTTGCATCAGTGGCCAGTTCACGAGTAGTAGACGTGGCAGGCAAGTGCAACATTCTCGCGGAATGAAGGAGACAAGGAACAGAACAGCCCTCCAGCTCTGAAGTGGACCAGACGCGTCAAAAGTGAGAGCTCACCAGTTGGGAGTTCTGAACGAAAAAAGCCTCCTGCGTGCGAGGACGTAGAGATGGTAGACGAGATGAATGCAGGGGTGGAGCAACAGGGTAGCATCTCAGAAGAGGAAAGTTGTTCAGTTCAGTCGCATCGAAAGGTAAGGCTCACCAGGTTGAGGTTCTGCGCGAGGAAGGCCTTTTCTGTGAGGCTGTAGAGCTGGTAGACGAGATGAATGCAGGGGTGGAGCAACCGGGTAGCAGCTCAGAAGGGGGAAGGGGTTCAGTTCAGTCGCATCGAAAGGTAAGGCTCACCAGGTTGAGGTTCTGCGCGAGGAAGGCCTTTTCTGCGCGAGGAAGGCCATTTCTGCGCGAGGAAGGCCTTTTCTGCGCGAGGAAGGCCTTTTCTGCGAGGCTGTAGAGCTGGTAGACGAGATGAAGCGATGGCGTTCAGATGTGTCAAGTGAGGGAGAGGGAGCTCACCAGGTTGAGGTTATGCACGGGGAAGGCCTTTTCTGCGCGAGGAAGGCCTTTTCTGCACGAGGAAGGCCTTTTCTGCACGAGGAAGGCCTTTTCTGTGAGGCCGTGGAGCTGGTACTCGCACGGGGCGAAGAAGGTGAAAAGGGACAGCCCCCCAGCTCAGAAGAGGAATCAGGGTCGCTAAAAGAGAGAGCTCACCAGTTGCGGGTTCTGCGCAAGAAATTGTTGCTCTGTGAGGCCGTAGATCTGGTAGACGAGCGGGCAGACAATGAAAATCGGGAAGGAGAGATTGAAGGTGCGGGTGGTGGCTGCAGATGGGGGAGAGGGGGAAGGGAGAGGGGGAAGGGAGAGGGTGGAGAGGTGAAAAAACGGAGGAGGCTGGAGATGAGAAAGGGGGAAGACGAGAGGGCAGTCGATGTCAATCGGGATGTCGAGATTAGAAAAGATGAGACGGTGTGTATGAGAAAAGATGTCGAGGTTGGAACTAAACCTAATTGAACTTGGGATGTGTCCAGTTTAAGCTAAGAGCTGCGAAATGAACCTAAACTGAACCCTTAAGTGTAACAAATAAACAGAATAACACCATGAGAGCGAGCTCCAGCCTTCTCCAACACGGTGTAGGAAGAGGAGAGGCGAGGAAGAGGAGGAGAGGCGAGGGAGAGGAGGAGAGGCGAGGGAGAGGAGGAGAGGCGAGGGAGAGGAGGAGAGGCGAGGGAGAGGAGGAGAGGTGATTGAGATGCGAGGAGAACAGAAGGGAGAGGAAGGTGCAACCATTGTTCAGGGATGGGATAAATACGATTTGCTGTGGCTCCTAAAATAACATGAATCCCAAAAGGACAAGAAGAGCCGGCCAGTTGAACACATATTGGGACGCATGTGGGAGCGCCGCCCACTTAAGAACATGGGGAACAAAAGACAAGAGTAGCCGCCCGTTAGAACACTTACTGGGGACGCATGTGGCAGCACCGGTGGGGCGGCGCCCTTGCTTGAATCCTCACGAAGAGATACAAAAGTAATCGCCCTCGTTGTTGTTGATGCACGTGCTTTTGAGACGTCTCAAAAGCACCCTTTTTTCACGTGCTTACTGGGGTGGGGACGCATGTGGTAGCGCCAGAGGGGCGACACCCCTTGTGCAAATCCCACGGATTCAAGTTCAAAATAGCTTGTTCAAGTTCATAGTAGCTTCTCTTCAGGCTTGTTCACAGTGGAGTAGCTGCAAGCCTGAAGAGAACGTTCAAGCAACTTACTGGGGTGGGGACGCATGTGAGAGCGCCAGAGGGGCGACGCCCTTGCTTGAATCCCCAGGGACAGACACAAAAGTAGTCGCCCTCGTTGTTGTTGATGCACGTGCCGACCGCACACGGATTGCTGTCGTGCAGGCTGCATGCGTCCTCTGCAGGGGGCGAGTGGGGGAGGGGCGGAAGGGACTGTTGAGTCGACTAAAAAATGGCCACCGCACACGGATTGCCGTCCTGCTGACTGCATGCGTCCTCTGCAGGGGGCGAAAGGGGGAGGGGCAGAGAGAGGGGAAGATGGGCAGGTGGGAGGGAGAGATGGGGAGGGATGGGGGGGAAAGGGGCTGAGGCGGGGGTGTGAGGGGGAGGGAGGAAGAGCTTTTATTAGGCGTGCCTATTGCTAACAGGAGAGACAGAAGGGTAGGGGAAGGAATGGGGGGGAGTAGGGCAGGCAGGTGATGGTGACGACAGGGGATGATGATGATGGGGGATGATGATGATGGGGGATGGTGGTGATGATGATGATGATGATGATGATGATGATGATGATGATGATGATGATGATGATGATGATGATGATGATGATGATGATGATGATGATGATGATGATGATGATGATGATGATGATGATGATGATGATGATGATGATGATGATGATGATGATGATGATGCAAGCCAAGCAGCCCCACAGTGCATTCTCTGACACACCACTCACTCACCAACCACACACGTCTTTTGAGGCGCCTAGAAGATTATCTTTTGAGGCGCCTAGAAGATTATCTTTTGAGGCGCCTGAAGAATCATCTGGGGATGATGATGCAACCCAACCAGCCGCACATTGCAGTCTCTTACGCACCACACCAATCACCATTCACCCACCACACAATCACTCTCGTTTGAGTGCCACTCACCAAACACACACGTCTGGCGGTTGCCTGTGTCAAGAGCGGGAATGAAGGGAGGATACAGACACGCGCATGTGTAGCCGTACTCTCCTCCCACCGCACACACAGCTCCCCCACAGGGATTCTGCTGTGACATGCACGGCGTGGGTTCTGGTGTGTGGGGGGAGGGGGGATGGGGTGGGGGAGAGGACTTGTGAGGCGCCTCAAAAGAGCGGGAATGAAGGGAGGATATAGACAAGACACGCGCATGTGTAGCCGTACTCTCCTCCAACCACACATGTAGCTAGGCCCCCCCACAGGGATTCTGGTGCGACAGACACGGCGAGGGTTCTGGTGTGTGGGGGGAGGGTGGGGGGTTTAGGGAGGGGGGATGGGGTGGGGGAGAGGGCTTGTGAGGCGCCTCAAAAGAGCAGATCCAGACACGTGCATGCGAGTCGCCGTTTTCTGTGTCCTCACATCACATCATATGATGCTGCAGGGTGTTTTTGAGAATTCTCAAAAACGTCCTCACATCACATGTGCCGCCCCCACATGGACTTGTCAAGAATAGACACGTGGGCTGCTAATGTAGTCACCGTCTCCTGTGTCCTCACATGTACCTTCCCCACATGGATTCTGCTGCGACAGGCACGGTGAGGATGCTTGAGTGGGGCGGGAAGGGGAGCGGGAAGGGGAGAGAGAGATGACTTGTGAGGCCCTTCAAAGGAGAAAGTGCAGGCACGTGCATGTGTAGCAGCGAGTGCTGAAATCTGGTTTCTGAGATCTGTTTTTTGACATCTGCTTTTTTAGAATTCTTATAAAACATATTCGAACTGCAAACACGTGCATGTGTAGCAGCGAGTGCTGTAATCTCATTGCCAATGCACAGCGCATGTGTGCAAGTGCATGTGTGCAAGTGCATGTGTGCACGTGTGCATGTGTGCACGTGTGCATGTGTGCACGTGTGCATGTGTGCATGTGTGCACGTGTGCATGTGTGCATGTGTGCATGTGTGCACGTATGCATGTGTGCATGTATGGATGTGTGCATGTGTGCACGTGTGCATGTGTGCACTGCAGACAAGCAAGGTTCGCTCACTCTTAATGATGGGGTAAATGGCCGGCACAGAGTGAATGCCACAGATACCAATGCCTCCCCCAAAGGCCATTTGCATGTAGCCCTGCACGCAGAGCGAGATGAGAGAGCAATGCGCAGAGAGTAGGGCAGAGACGGGAAGAGAGGAGGGAAGGCGAGAGGAGGAAAAGGTGAGGGAGGAAAGCAGGGAAGAGGGGAGGGAAGATAGAAGGGGAAGAAGGAAGGGAAGAGGGGAGGGAATAGAGGAGGGAAGAGAGAGGGGACAGGCAAATGCATGCAAAAAACCACAATCGGTTGCGACCTTGCTGGTGAGGCGCCTGCATGCATCCCACCTGCATGCATCCCACGTGCATGCATCCCACCTGCATGCATCCCACCTGCATGCATCCCACGTGCATGCATCCCACCTGCATGCATCCCACCTGCATGCATCCCACCTGCATGCCCCAGCCAGCCCCCGAGGGGTTGCGGAGGATCCAGAAGGCGCCCTCACGTGAGATGCTGCCTGGACTGGATACCACCGCGCTGTGATCCACCACCCCTTTTGACACGTCTCAACAAAAAATGTGGTTTATCCCACCTGCATGCCCCAGGTGGCCCCCCAGGAGTTGCGGAGGATCCAGAAGGCGCCCTCAGCCGTGATGCTGTAGCCCATCACCACCACGCTGTGATCCACCACTCCTGCCGCTGCACACCCTGCGTCGCTGTATATGCCCTGGGGTGGAGGGAGAAGGAGCACAGTGGCGGGAGAAGGAGCACAGTGGAGGGAGAAGGAGCACAGTGGAGGGAGAAGGAGCACAGTGGCGGGAGAAGGAGCACAGTGGAGGGAGAAGGAGCACAGTGGAGGGAGAAGGAGCACAGTGGAGGGAGAAGGAGCACAGTGGAGGGAGAAGGAGCACAGTGGCGGGAGAAGGAGCACAGTGGAGGGAGAAGGAGCACAGTGGAGGGAGAAGGAGCACAGTGGAGGGAGAAGGAGCACAGTGGAGGGAGAAGGAGCACAGTGGCGGGAGAAGGAGCACAGTGGAGGGAGAAGGAGCACAGTGGAGGGAGAAGGAGCACAGTGGAGGGAGAAGGAGCACAGTGGCGGGAGAAGGAGCACAGTGGAGGGAGAAGGAGCACAGTGGAGGGAGAAGGAGCACAGTGGAGGGAGAAGGAGCACAGTGGCGGGAGAAGGAGCACAGTGGAGGGAGAAGGAGCACAGTGGAGGGAGAAGGAGCACAGTGGAGGGAGAAGGAGCACAGTGGCGGGAGAAGGAGCACAGTGGCGGGAGAAGGAGCACAGTGGCGGGAGAAGGAGCACAGTGGAGGGAGAAGGAGCACAGTGGCGGGAGAAGGAGCACAGTGGAGGGAGAAGGAGCACAGTGGAGGGAGAAGGAGCACAGTGGAGGGAGAAGGAGCACAGTGGAGGGAGAAGGAGCACAGTGGCGGGAGAAGGAGCACAGTGGAGGGAGAAGGAGCACAGTGGAGGGAGAAGGAGCACAGTGGCGGGAGAAGGAGCACAGTGGAGGGAGAAGGAGCACAGTGGCGGGAGAAGGAGCACAGTGGAGGGAGAAGGAACACAGTGGCGGGAGAAGGAGCACAGTGGAGGGAGAAGGAGCACAGTGGAGGGAGAAGGAGCACAGTGGAGGGAGAAGGAGCACAGTGGCGGGAGAAGGAGCACAGTGGAGGGAGAAGGAGCACAGTGGAGGGAAAGGAGCACAGTGGAGGGAGAAGGAGCACAGTGGCGGGAGAAGGAGCACAGTGGAGGGAGAAGGAACACAGTGGCGGGAGAAGGAGCACAGTGGAGGGAGAAGGAGCACAGTGGAGGGAGAAGGAGCACAGTGGAGGGAGAAGGAGCACAGTGGCGGGAGAAGGAGCACAGTGGAGGGAGAAGGAGCACAGTGGAGGGAGAAGGAGCACAGTGGAGGGAGAAGGAGCACAGTGGCGGGAGAAGGAGCACAGTGGAGGGAGAAGGAGCACAGTGGCGGGAGAAGGAGCACAGTGGAGGGAGAAGGAACACAGTGGAGGGAAAGGAGCACAGTGGAGGGAGAAGGAGCACAGTGGCGGGAGAAGGAGCACAGTGGAGGGAGAAGGAGCACAGTGGCGGGAGAAGGAGCACAGTGGAGGGAGAAGGAGCACAGTGGAGGGAAAGGAGCACAGTGGAGGGAGAAGGAGCACAGTGGAGGGAGAAGGAGCACAGTGGCGGGAGAAGGAGCACAGTGGCGGGAGAAGGAGCACAGTGGCGGGAGAAGGAGCACAGTGGAGGGAGAGAAGTGGAGGGGCTGGAAAGGGGAAAGGGGAGGAGAGTGCAATGCATGGTACCTCTCTCACGCCACCCCATCACCACCACGCTGTGATCCACCACTCCCGCTGCTGCACAAGCTGGGTCGCTGTATATGCCCTGGGTTGGAGGGACGTGCAAGGAGTGGCATGGCAGGTTAGGTCACGCCACCCCACCATGAGTAGAGTAGGGGCCCTGCCCTGAGATGCTGCACCCCATCACCTGCCCTGAGATGCTGCACCCCATCACCTGCCCTGAGATGCTGCACCCCATCACCTGCTACATTTGGACTGCAACTCCCCTTTTGAGAAATTTCAAAAGTGACTTCCGAGACGCTGCTGCACCCCATCGTCACCACCACCCCGCTGTGATCCACCACCCCCGCCCGCCGCTGTGCACCCTGGGTCGCTGTATGTGCCCTGGGGTGGAGGGAGAGGTGGAGGGAAAGACATGGAGGGGAGAGGTGGAGGGAGAAGAAAAATGGTGAGTGCCGTGCAGTGCAGTGCAGTGCAGTGCAGTGCAGTGCAGTGCAGTGCAGTGCAGTGCAGTGCAGTGCAGTGCAGTGCCGTGCCGTGCCGTGCCGTGCCGTGCCGTGCCGTGCCGTGCCGTGCCGTGCCGTGCCGTGCCGTGCAGTGCAGTGCAGTGCAGTGCAGTGCAGTGCAGTGCAGTGCAGTGCAGTGCCGTGCAGTGCAGTGCAGTGCAGTGCAGTGCAGTGCAGTGCAGTGCAGTGCCGTGCCGTGCCGTGCCGTGCCGTGCCGTGCCGTGCCGTGCAGTGCAGTGCAGTGCAGTGCAGTGCAGTGCAGTGCAGTGCAGTGCAGTGCAGTGCAGTGCAGTGCAGTGCAGTGCAAGCCATGGTAGGTTAACTCTCACCCCTTCGTCACCAGCACGCTGTGATCCACCATCCCTGCTGCTGCACACCCTGCGTTGCTGTTTATGCCCTGAGGGGGGCGGTTCAACGCGGTACCTCTAACACCGCCCCATCAACAGCAGCTGTGATCCAGCAGTGATGAGTCTACTAGAAAATAGACTCATCATGAGAATCGATTTTTATCTGGATTTTAACAAAAAAAACAGAAAATAGGCTTGTCGTGAGCGCAGTGCAATGTGTGGTACTTCTCACACCAACCCCCCCCCGTCACCAGCACTCTGCATTCCATCACTGCACACCCTGCATCATCGCTGTACATGTCCTGCATCATCATCGCTGTACATGTCCTGCATCATCATCGCTGTACATGTCCTGCATCATCATCGCTGTACATGTCCTGCATCATCATCGCTGTACATGTCCTGCATCATCATCGCTGTACATGTCCTGCATCATCATCGCTGTACATGTCCTGCATCATCATCGCTGTACATGTCCTGCATCATCATCGCTGTACATGCCCTGCATTCATCATCGCTGCATAGAAAAGGTGTTTCCCTTACATCTGTGTACGTCTGGAAGGAGGGGTAGGAGCCTCGCACGAATGCAACGGTGGGCTGAGCCTGCGACAGGGGAGCGGAGAAGGGAAGAGAGAAGACGAGATGAGGACTGGGCGGAGGAGGGGAAACAGCAAAGCAGAAGCTACAGCAGACTCTCGCTGACTGAGCAGTACCAAACTATGTGCACAAATCCAATGCATGCACGCATGTATCCTGCACTGCTGCCCGCCCGCTGCACTGCCACCATCATCGGAACCACTGCAGCAAATCAGCACCCTGTGTGTCTGCGTACAGGCTTACGTTGACAGCCAGGAGCAGACTAGTTTTGAGGCGCCTCGAAACTAGACCCGCCCGCTGCACTGCCACCATCATCGGATCCACTGCAGCAAATCAGCACCCTGTGTGTCTTGCGTACAGGCTTACGTTGACAGCCAGGAGAAGACGCAGCCAGGCGTAGAAGATGACTGCTTGTGAAAATCCCGTGTGGTAACCGGATTGGACTCATAGGCTTACGTTCACTGCGAGGAGAAGACGCAGCCAGCCGTAGAAGATGAGTGCTTGTGAGAATACTGTGTGGTAACGGGATTTTTTTTTTTTTTTTTTTTATATGTTAAATATACACCGATGATGCTAGTGCACACAAACATATATCAGTCGTAACTGAGCGTGAGAGGCCCGGCAGCGCGCCTGCCTCAAGGGATGACTCTAAGGGGGATGTAGTGCCCCTCGCGCAAGATTCCATAGCGCGCCAAAGTGACGGGACCATTTCCAGCCTTTGCCTTCCAGAGTCCGGATACGTCCAAGGAGCCGACACTCCTGATCTGCCAGCGCGTACGTCTTCCCGCTCTGTTTCAAATTGCCCTTCATGCCCAGCTTTTTCCCTGTTGCCCGAGTATACACCCGCACATGTAGCTTGAAAGCTGCTTCAATCCTCCTCAGTACCCGTCTGGCTCGAAATCTCTTGCCTCGAAACACGCAATCGCACCGCTCTGCCCAAATCTGGTGTATTGCAATTGCCGAGAGAGACGCTTCCGGAAAAGCTGAGGTGGAAGCGGTATTGCCAAACAGTATGTCACCCAAGCTGTCAACTTGCCTTGTCGGATTCAGCATGTGCAGAGCCTTCCGAACTGCCCCCACCACCGTCTGGATTCTTGGACAGGTGTAGAGGCAGTGTTCAAGGGTCTCAAACTCCCCGCAGTGCGGGCAGATCGGCTTTCCACTCAAGAAAGAAAGCCTTTCTCCCACTTGGAGGTTGAGACTGTGGATTCTCAGCAGCACATCACGCGGTCGGTTCGGTGTCACCAGCGAGTCCCGAATTTTCACAACCCTTTTCCAGTCGATAACTCCTGCCCATCTGCCCGCCCAGAGCTCCCGTTTGGCTGATTGATGTTTCGGCTGTTGCCAGTTCCCTTTCAGCTCCTTCAGCGATGTTAGCCCCCCGCCACTGAAAGCCGCTGTGCGCTGGAGCGGAGTGCGGAGCTGGGTGGCAGGTGCGCCAGATTGCTCGGCTGAGAGGAGAAGCAGCTTCCAGCTCTGCGGTGCTGCTTCCCACGCCCGTAGAGCAAGTTTCGCCTGCTTTGAGCCACCGAGCTCCCTCGCTAGGGTTTTATCATCCTTTACATGCCAACTCCCGTCACCGCCCGCAGTCAGCAGGTCTCCCAGACGCACCTCCCACAATTTCTCCGCGGCTTTCTGGCTGCCCACGGGGTCGTGCCTTTCATCAGGATATGGCGATTGAAAACGATCCTTTCCCTCGCCACTTCCTCCCGTGATAAGTCAAGCGGCGTGCTGGCGAGCGGCGACTGCATGAAGTTAGCGCACGCAAGCTTCCACCGCTCGCTTTTCCCGCGCCAGCATTTGAGCAGCTTCACGTGAGCGACGAAGGTATCCATTCCCAGCGGCAAGTCCGCAGCCTGGAGCATGATGTCGCGTTTCAGCGCGTTTGTCTCGGTGAGCAGCAGCCCGATCTTTCTGGCGATTAGGCAGGTAAGTGCGATTTCCGGGTCCTTCACACCGACGCCCCCCTCTTCTCTGGCCATGTACAGCAGCTCTCTACTCCACAGTATGAATTCCTTGTCGGTAGAGGCCCGATTTCCCGACATGAAGTTGTGCGTCAGTTTCAGTATCCTCCCCCAAATATCCACCGGTGGCGGGTACACCTGAGCCTGAAAGAAGATTATCGGTGAGATGTACTGTAACGGGATTTGATTTATAGGCTTACGTTCACTGCGAGCCGCAGACCCAGCCAGCCATAGAAGGTAACTGCTTGTGAAAATACTGTGTGGTAACGGGTTTTGTTTTTCGGGCTTACGTTGACAGCGAGGAGCAGACCCAGCCAGCCGTAGTAGTCCACCTGGTAATACCCCCTGATGCCTATGGTCGTTGCCTTCTGCTCCGCCTGGGGGGAGAAACAGGGCATGGGCACATGGGCATGAGCATGGGTGTGTGGGCACGGGTGCGAGCATGGGTGCGAGGGTGGGTTGTACTCGATCAACCAGACTCTACGACGGCACAAGCGGTGCGACGGCACATGTGGTGCGACGGCACATGCGGTGCGACGGCACATGCGGTGCTACATACAACACATGTTGTACGACCGTGCAACATTCTGTCATCTTCGTCGAAGCCTTTCGGAAAACATTGCCTCACACAAGGCTTGGACGGGCAAAAGTGCCCCACCCATGAATGGCACTCAACTGCTTTATGATTGACATGGGTGCATGAGCAGGGTGACTTTTGAGTCGACTCAAGTCAAAAGTGCCCCACCCATGAATGGCACTCAACTGCTTTATGATTGACATGGGTGCATGAGCAGGGACGCATGGCAGGAGCACATGGGCATGTGAGCATGGCACAAAAGCACGTGACAATACTTGAGCAAGGGTACAAGAGTGTGTGACTATCCACGGGCAAACATCGTCCCCGACTGTTCGACCTCCTCAAAGCGTACCTTCCCCAGTTGTACCCCCCCCAGGCGTACCTCCCCCAGGCGTACCTCCCCCATCCCAGGCGTACCTCCCCCAGGCGTACCTCCCCCAGCCGTACCTCCCCCAGGCGTACCTCCCCCAGGCGTACCTCCCCCAGGCGTACCTCCCCCAGGCGTACCTCCCCCAGGCGTACCTTGGCGTGTTTGCATTTGCCGTTCTTCTGCTTGTACGCGTACCCAGCGTGGGTCGCAAGCCCCCCCCACTCCTGTGTGGCGGCCACCATGTAGTCCAGTGCTGTCGTCGGCCACGCGCCCGCAGCACAGCTGCTGTTCCTGCCTTTCCTGCTGCAGTCCAGTACCTAAAGGGGTGGGGGTTGGGTGGGGGGAGAAAGAAGAGAAGAGCGCGGAGGCAATGAGATGCTGTGAGTGAGTGAGGCTGCCCCCACTGTAGTGTGGCATGGCATGGCATCCACCGTGTAGTCCAGCTCCTGAGGAACAGCATTACATTGTGGCGGAGGGAACAGCTGGGTGGCAAGCCCCCCCCACTGCATGGCGGCGTCCACCATGTAGGCCAGCCCAGCGCTGCCGCCAGCCACCCGCCGTCAGCCACCCGCCTACAGCAGAGGACGCCTGCAGCAGAGGTGCTGTTTCCTGCACTCCAGCAACTGAAGGGGTGGGGGGAGGGGGGAAGGAGAGGGTGGAGAAGGGGGAACGGGGGAGGGTGGAGGGACGTTGCGCGGGAGAAAGGGTGTGGGTGGGTGGGTGGGTGTGTCGTCTCATATATTACGTCAGTACCACCAAACCAGCACAAGCAATAACCGACGGCACTACCTAAGTGTGCCCAAGTGCGGTAGAACCACAAATACGATAGGAAGGTGAGCTTGCAAGCAATCAGGAACCTGATAATGCTGCTGCTGCTCTGACTTTTGAGTCGACTCAAAAGTCACATCCTTGCAATCCAGAATCTGATGCTGCTCCTGCAGCTGCTCGTTTTGAGTCGACTCAACGCTTGCAATTAGAAACCTGATGATGCTGTTGCTGCTCTGACTCGACTCCTTGCAATCAGGAACCTGGTGATGCTGCTGCTCTGACTTTTGACTCGACTCTTTGCAATCAGGAACCTGATGATGATGCCGCTGCTCTTAGGTGCAATGCAAGCTACGCGCTACGCGGTATAAGCTGCTCGCGTATAAGCACGCACAATAACTCAGCAGCAGTAGTAATTGCTCGCGTTAAAGCCCGTGCTTGGGTTGGGTGGTAGCTTCCGCACCTGCTGTACTGATAAGCGCTTGGGGCGCGCCATGAAGGGTGCCCAGGTAGCCACTAACGCGTATGCCATTTCCACCGCGCTCACTGCTGTGATGGCCCATGATGACCCTGGGGGGTGGGAGGTGGACGGGGAGGGGGGAAGAGGAGAAGGGCTGAGAAATAGCTCCACTGCGCTCACTGCTGTGATGGCCCATGATGAACCTGGGGTGGGGAGTGAAAAGTGGAGGGGAGGGAGGGGGGAGGAAGGGGCGGAGCGGAGGGAAGGGGGAAGTGGACGGGGAGGGGGAAAAGAGGAGAAGGGCTGAGAGAAGGTTCTTTTGTGAGTAACAACACTGAGTAACGCTGGGGGGAATCCATGGAGGGCGTCGAGTGAGCCACTAACGCGTACGCCATTTCTACCGCGCTCACTGCTATGATGGCCCATGATGACCCTGGGGTGGGGAGTGAGAGGGGGAGGGGGAGGGGAAGGGAAGAGGGAGGGGAGCGGGAGGTGGATGGACGGGGAGGGGAGGGGAAAAGAGGAGAAGGGCTGAGATATAGTTCCTCATTGCGTGTGCCCGCTCGCTCCCTCGCGCATGCCAGCGCGTGTCCGTTCCGAGGCATCGCGCACGCATTCCACCTGGATTCGCCTTTCGAGAGCTCTCGAAAAGCCACTATCGCGTACGCCATTTCCACCGCCCTCACTCACTGCTGTGATGGCCCACCACGTAGATTCGCCTTTCGAGAACTCTTGAAAAGCCAAGCCAACAACTTCACAAGAATTGTCAGCCTTGGATTGGATCCGTCCTGTCCTGAACTGACCTGAAATTGCCTGAGAGATAGGTCGAGGACCAAGGCTGAGAACCAAGCCTGAGGCCCTGTCCTGTCCTATAAGCTTCTTTTAGGATACTGATAAGTCACTTGTGGGACAGATTGTGGCCTCAAGGGACTCTTTAGGATACTTCCGGGACAGGTGGAGAGAGAGACTTCATCCTAAAAGAGTCTCAAAGAACAGATTCAGGACTGTCAATCTTCAGCTAGGAAAAAATCTCCTGAAAGAGCCTCAAAGCTGCCGCGACGCCGCACACTCACTGCATTTGCCTTCGGAGCGCAGCGCGAGAAAGGGCTCGAGGCGAGGGTCCTCGACCCAGTTGCGACCTTTCGTGAAAAGGTCGGTTGCGACCTCCCCCGTCCTCGCGTCATAAAGGGTGCTGATAAACCGGAAGAGCCGGAACGCGTACTTGGGAGCCACGGCCACCGCGGGATTTGCGCTGCACCGATACCTCTGGGCTGGTCGTACCGAGGGGGAGGGGGAGGGGGAGGAAGGGTAACGGGAGGGAGAGGGGAAGAAGACGGGTGAACTTCCGAGGCGCCTCAATGGTCGGGATTTGCGCTGTATCGATACCTCTGGGCTGGTACGGGGCCACACGGGGAGGGAGCGAGAGGAAGGGACTTGGCGGTTGCTGCTTTTATGAAACATGATGAGAAGGGCGATTGGACTTTCTAATCGACCCAGAGGTGCATGGGAAGGATGGAGGACGGGGAGGAAAGGGAAGGGAAGGAAAGGGGGGAGGGAGTTGGAGGTTGCTGCGATATCATGATGGGAAGGGCGATTGGCCTCTCTTATCGACTCAGAGGTCGCAACGAAAGGATGGAGGACGGGGAGGAAGGGGAGGAAGGGGGCCGGGGAGCCTGAGTGTTGCCTGGGATGCGCGAGTCGCGATCGGACAAGGGAAGAAAACGGAAGGCAAGGACGGTGGAAGGACGGGCCGACGCATCAACACTGACCTGCGACAGCGACGTTGCCATTCGCGAGCATGCTCGGCGAGAAGCACGGCGACACAAGTTGTGAGTCGACTCAAAAGTCAACTCGACGCAAGACTGACCTGCGACGGCGACACCGCCACTCGCGAGCAGCGCAGCGAGAAGCACGGCGATCAGCGCCGCGTAGCACGCCGCCTGTCGGGACGCGAAGTCCCCGCGGCGCGAGGCGGCGCGGGGGATTGTCTGCATCGCGTTTGATTTGAGATTTGCAGTGCTCTTGAGCCGCCGCCGCCGCCGCCGCGCGCGCGCAACAAACCGCCGTGGATGCCGCGCTGCGGCTATGCGCACAGAATGTTCACTACTAGTAATCTCGGCGCACTCGATAGTCGGCGCTGCTGCCTCGGAGGTGAATTTTGGACCACCTCAATAGTCCCGGACGCGGAAGATTGTGACAATCGACTCGAAAACACACCTGGACGCGGCAAATCTGAGGCGCCTCGAAAACACCACCTGGACGCGGCAAATTTGAGGCGCTTCGAAATCTGAGCCGCCTGGGTGGGGTATCTCGTGACGAGCCTAGAAATATGGGACCGGCGCTTGGATGCAATCTCGTGCTTTAGCCATCATCTTTACCTCCGAGTTACCCACCCTCCGAGTCCCTCTCACACACTCCCCATTGTTACCCACCCTCTCCTCCCCCTCCCCTTCCCCCTGCCCCTCCCCCCGCCCCTGCCCCTACCCGGCTGCTCCTAGCAGTGTCATTCCATCCATGTGATGGGTGTGTTGGTCACCATCCATTGTCGACGGTCGACACCTCCTAGTATTGATGACCAAGCACGGTGCTTCGCTGGCCTGCTCGTCATCATTGCCAACGTGTACGGCCTCTGCACCGGCAGCTACAACACGTGCGGTAGAAGCGAGGTTATAACGCGTATGGATGCTGTGTGGCATCTGAGCTAGCCTGCTTGTCATCGTTGCCAACGTTGGCTACGACCTACATCGGAGTCTGTATCGTCAGCTACAATAGGTGCGACAGAAACTAAGTCCACAACACGTATGGAGGGGTTTCTGTGGTTTCTGGAGCACCTGCACTGGTCTGCTTGTCACATCATTGCTGATGTTGGCTACGGCCACTGCACCGTCGCACCACATGTTCGTGTTCAATCAAACCCTGGAGCTTCGTCGTGAACACAATTATCAGAAAGCTGCGTGAATGGCTCGAGAGAAGGAAGTGCACATGGCCCTGAATCCTGATTTTCAGGCGTTATTGCTGCCGCAGAATTGTAACGGAGGTTGAGGCCGTCTCATATGAGTTCGTTTGGGAAGAAAAGCTTTGTCTTCTTTGACATAGCAAATGACTGAACCCTCGAACGAAATATAACTGCAATGCTCAGCTACGCGCCAAACGAATTTGCACCACACAAACACAGCGCCCCGCCCGTTCAAAACTCCTCCCTCCAATCACTTGACATAGTGCGCAAGCAGTAACCCTGCCCCGCTGCGAATCGACTGCAAAAAACTGGCGGTGGTTGCGCAACCGCAAACACGCTAAGCGACAGTCGTTATCTTCGTATGTGGAGGCTTGGGCGGATTTCTAGATTGGGGTGATGTTACGAGTGCAATTGAGTGAACGAACGAGAATTGCACTATCGAAGCAAGAGTACAATGAGCGAAGGCATGAGCGAAGAATATATAGCGAAACTACAGTGGTAACGGTAATGGACTGTGGTTGTCGCGCGACGGGCCTGGGACTGAGGTTGGGAAAAAGTGTCGAAGCGGAGGCCCGGAGCGCGGGTTACCCGCCGAGCCGTGAGGTCGGGGTGCGATGTGCGAAGGTGGCGGGCAGATTGTCGATGCGAGGGTTGCGAGTGGTAACGGTGCTGACTGTGGTGCTACAGTGATGTACGCGTTGAGCAGGGATGCGAAGTAAGGAAAAGGAATTTTCCTTACACTACCCCCCCCTTAAGGAGGTCCTCCTTACGAGAGTGCGTGTACATCCCTGAAATTTCGGCTGCGCAGATACTCGGTGAGGACGGGGTGGTTTTCGATTCTGTCCAGGGGAACCCAATTGTCTTCGGTGGGTGTACGGTCCTTCCAGCGGAGTAAGAACTCGATCCTTCGGGCTCCTCGAGGGTCGCGAACTCCGTGACTCAGGTTTTTTTCGGGGGTGATGATTGGTTCAGTTGGTGGTCTTGTCATGCTTGTTGGGCGATTGCGTGGCAGTTGGCTCGTGGACGGGACGTAAGGGCGAAGTAGGCTGACGTGGAATGAGGGGCTGACGTACCAGTCAGCAGGGAGGAGGAGGTGGGCGGTGACGGGTGTAAGCATGTGGCTTATGCGAAATGGCCCGCAGTATCGGGGGCGGAGTTTCGGAGTGATGGGCAGTCGGAGGTTCTGAGTGTCAAGTAAAACTAAGTCGTCGGGCTGGTAAGTGACAGGTCTGCGGTGGCGGTCGGCGTTGCGTTTAGCGATGATGTTCGATTTTTTTATTGCGTCTACTGCCCGGGTCCGTGCTGCTTGTAATATTTCGGCGAACTGTTGTGCTCGTGGTACTGGGTTGTCCGGATTCGGGGTCATGGGTACTGTTGGGTCTTGTCCGTAGTTTAGGTAAAATGGTGACTGTTGGGTCGTGGCGGATGGCGAGTTGCTGTACGCGAATTCGATTAGTGGCTGTTGCTGTTCCCACGTGGTCGGGTCGTCACACGTGGCCCTGATGAGCTGTTCCATGGTCTGATTTGTCCGTTCTGTCTGTCCGTCGGTTTCGGGGTGGTATGATGAACTGAACTGCAGTCGCGTGCCGAACTGCTGCCACAGGTGCCGCCAGAAATTGCTGGTGAATTTTGTGTCGCGGTCGTTGATGATCGCGGCGGGTATCCCGTGCAGTCGAACGACGGTGGAGATGAAGAGGCGTGCTGTTTCTTCGGCTGTGATCGATTTGTTGCAGGCTGCGAAATGTGCCATTTTCGTTAGTCGATCGACGACGACCAGGACCGCGTCGTTCCCACTCGCCCCGGCTGGTAACCCCGTGACGAAGTCCATCGTCACCTGCTGCCAAGCACGCTCTGGGGGTGGTATCGGCTGCAACTGTCCCGCCGGCCGCTGTCGTGATGATTTCATGAGCTGACAAGTGGGACACGATGCCACGTGTCGTTGTACGTCGGTCAACATTTCGGGCCAGTAATAATACCGCTGCAGCTGCTGCCGTGTTTTTTCTACTCCGAAATGCCCCGAAGTAACTCCGTCGTGTGCCTCCTGTAACAGTAATTCCCGTAGCAGTGTATACCCAGGTACCCAAATGCGGTCAGTCCCGGTTTTTACGTAATAGACTCCCTTTGCTGCTGCGAACTGCTGCGAATTTCCTCCTGTGAAGAATGGATCCGTCTGGTACCCGTGGGTGAATAGGCCTGTCAGTAGCGGGCTTGTCTGGGCGAGTAGTATTGCGTGGATCTGGGCAGTGGGGTGGGTCAGTGCGTCGGCGATGTTCGAGGCTCCCTTTTTGTAAGTGACCGTATAGTGAAAGTTGGACTCGAGGAAATCGAGCCAGCGAATCTGTCGTGGGTTGAGGTGTGGCTGTGCGCGAAGGTACTGTAGTGATTTATGGTCTGTCCGTACTGTCACGTCTGCGCCAGTCAAGTAACAGCGCCATACTTTGAACGCGTGCACGATCGCAAGCATTTCGCGGTCGTGTATCGGGTAATTTTTCTCGGGCGGATGCAGTTTTCGTGACTCGTATGCGATAGGCTGTAGGCCATTGCCGAAATCCTGTAGCAGTACGGCTCCGATGGCGATATCGCTTGCATCGGTAACTACTTCGAATGGGCGGTGTGGGTCGGCGATGCGCAGGACGGGCGGGGAACAGAGAACATTTTTCAGGGCAGAGAAGGCAGCATGCTCTTTCTCCCCCCACGTAAAAGCGACCCCCTTCCGCAGTAAGTCCGTCAGTGGGGCAGTTAACCGTGCCATATCGGGGACGAACCGACGTACATAATTAACGAACCCTAAAAAGCTCTGCAGCTCCGTGATGTTTGTCGGGGGATGCCACGCTTTTACCGTATCCAGCTTCTTTAAGTCGATTTCAACTCCAGCCTCCGAAATAACGTGCCCCAAAAATTCTAACCTATCCTGGAAGAACTCGCACTTGGAACCCTTGGTCAGTAATCTGTGCTCGTCTAAAACCTTAAACACTGCTTCCAGATCTGCTAAGTGCTGCTGCTTATCCCGACTGTACACTAGGATGTCGTCGAGGTAAACTATTACACATTTATCTAAGAGCGGCCTAAATGCCTCGTTCATGGTCATCTGAAAAGTCGCCGGTGCGTTGGTCAGCCCGAATGGCATCACAGTGTACTCGAACGACCCGTACCTAGTCCTGAAAGCTGTTTTGGCGCAGTCCGATGGTTCGACCCTAATCTGATGGTAACCTCCCCGTAAATCTATTTTCGAAAAAACCCGTGCTGTTCGCAGTTGGTCGATCAGTTCGTCGGCGCGGGGAATTGGGTACCGCGACTTGACTGTTACCCTGTTTAGTGCTCTGTAGTCGATACACATGCGAAACCCCCCGTGTTTTTTCGGCGTGAATAGTATCGGTGCGGCGAACGGTGACGAGCTCGGTCTGATGAATTTTTTCTCTAACAGGTAATCTAACTGCTTCCTTAGTTCGTCGAGCTCGGGCTGTGTCAGTCTGAACTGGCGCTGTACGGTTGGCTGTGCCCCCGGTTCTAATTCGATTCGGTGGTCATGTGCTCGCTGAGGTGGCAGTCCTTCCGGTAAGTCGTCGGGGAAAATCCCGGGGTATCGTTTCAACAGTTCCTGTAATTCGGGCGGTACGGCTGCCAGGAGTTTCTTGAAATCACTCGGCTGCTCTGCTTCCTCTACTACTGCGATGTCTACTGCGTACACGTCAGCTCCAGCAGCGACAGCCCGTTTCATTGTGATGGCGTTGACGTGTACCGTTGAAGACTCGGGCGACTGCCAGCGAGGTAGCTCGACCCAGTTACCACTACTTCGCACGGTGCAGCTACCCGTCGTCCAGTCAATTCGCGGGTTATATCGTCGCAGCCAATCACGTCCCAGTAAAATATCGTGCCCATCCAGTGTCGTTGCGAGCATTTCCTGTGTAAACCCGAAATTTCCCCCGCAGCGGACTTTGACTCTCTCTACCTTTTCCCGTATGGCCAGTGGCGTGCCGTCGACTAAGCGTGCGTCTATCTCCGGTAAGCAGCGGCTAAGTGTCAGCTGCAGTTTTCGTG